ATTGACCAGTTCAATGAGAACACCAGAAACTGTCAAAACAGACACTGAAAAGTCTAAATCATTCTTATTGAAATGCTACACTACGACATCAATCTCTCAGTGTGCTGGATGAGTCGTCGTCATACAACTTTACTGGGTTGGATGCTGTGGAAATCAAAAACCAGCTGACGAAATCAATCCGATTGAATATGAAGCAACTCAAAGCGACCGATGTACTGGCATCAAAACAAGTAATGCTGATAGCAAGGTCCTTGATGAAACTGCTGGAAACATTTGGGGATGGGCACAAGGGACGCTTCTTGGACTATGTCAACAGCAGACTTGGCATCTCCAAATCATCCTACTACTACTACTACATGGAGTATTATGCCTTTATGTCAAAGTATCCGAAATTCCAAACTCTGGCAGTGTCCTTTAGAGTGTTTAGGAGTATGATTCCAAAAATCAAGGAATGGTTTATGTCACCAGAGTGTCAAGCTTTGGACTCTTCTGATTTCTACTCTGAACACTACTGGATGAATGTTGATGATGAAATGGATGACGACGATATGAATGTTTTAAACGAACACAATTCCACTGCGGTGGAAAACCTTCGCAACAAGTAGTTCCTCGTCAGTCGATGACTCCTTCAGACTGCAGTGATAATGATAATGCTATCAATGGTGAACTGACATTGCTACTTTCTTTCACGGAGAGCAAAGTACTGAAAATGTCCACCGCAGTGGAAAAAAGTTCTAGCTGTACACTCCTTGATATCTTCGTGATAGACAGCACTGATGCATTCAAACCTATTTCCACCACATTAATGTATCTTTTGTATTAACTTGTAAATAGAAAATCTCTGCAACTATTGTGTTTATTATGAAAATTTCATTATTATCGGGTGTGTTTTTGAGCCAAACATTGTCCTCTGATTGTTTAGTTTTCTTGTACTTTTTAGCTCTCTCCTTCTCTGCCTCGGTATTAGCAGCATAATAGTCTCGGTATCGTTTCCTTTCAGCTTGTTTGTTTCTAGCATAGTAATCTCGGTACCATTTCCTTAGTTGTTCTTGTTCTTCTGGTGAATACGAATCCCAATTCTTAATACATTGAATGGACGCTTGGCGAGTTTTAATGAAACTAATGAATGTCATTTATACAGTTGGTTTAGAAAATAAGCTCCGCTTAATGTTCTCCGTTTTTATGAGCTGGACCTCTAATTCTACCCAATTCTTCCAATTCTCTTTTATTTCGACGCTCCTTATTTGTCATTCGTGGTTCTCTCTGTCTAGATTTTGTATGAAACTTTTGGGTAGATTCAATACGTTGTAGTTCATAGTATTTGTATGCCTTTGGAAGAATATTACCATCATCATCTGCA